ACTAGGTACTGATGAGTACCATCAGAGTACCTGATGATGACCTATGGTCGAAAGTACTAGTACACTAAATATTTTATTTTGAGACAGATACAGAACTTTGTTTGACTTCTTATATATATACAAATCTGTTTATGCAGCAACTATATATATATATATATATATATATATATATATATACATATATATATTATTGATAAACATTTCCCTCTACAGAATATTCGTGAACGATCTAATAAATTAAAGTCACCGTGGATCTCTGAGGGAAGAGCAAAATCAATTAAAACTAAACAAAGATTATATGATCGTTACAAGGCTTCACCATCACCATTACATTAGAAAAAAAGTATTGTACTTATAGGAATAAATTAACTTTCATTATTAGGTAATGCAAAAAAGATCACAATAAAATATTTGAAAAATGTAAGAATGGTACAAAATATACTTGGTATGCCGCTGCAATGGTTTTCTTAAGTGGTGTACCAATGGATCTATCCTTGGTCCCCTTTTGTTTTTGCTATATATTCATGATTTCGATTCCCACCCGAATCACTTGCAATTTTTTTTTTCGTAAGTATTTGGGACGTACTGAGTATTCGGTACGAACACACGTCAGGTAGGGCAAAACATCACTCCTGTGATGTTGTTTAAACTATCACGTTTGCTGATGATAGTCTTGTTAGTCATCAGAAATTCGAATAATGAACAATGAGCTTAGTACAATTGTAATTTGGATTATTACAAATATACTCCAAATATTCCTAATAAGTGAAATTGAAAGAAAAAAAGCAATTAAGTTCCTTTGTATTCATATTGACGAATACTTATCTTTCAACTCACACTCGGATGCAACATCGCTCAAAGTTTCAAAAGTGTTTGGTCTTCTTAATAATCTTAAATAATGTTTACCACCTTTCACGCTACTTTTAATTTACAAATCCCTCGTTTTACCTTATCTAAATTATGGTATCACTGTGTGGGGCTATACTGAAAAATCAAATCTGAATCGTATATATGTTCTACAAAAGAAGGCATTAGTCCTGTTTACAATGTCCATTACGGTACATTTGTTTTCCTGCTCCGCTATTAAAACTCGCTCAATATTTTTGATATAGGTCCTACGTAATAAAAAAAAATTGTTGTCTACGATTCAATTTAAGTCTAATCAATTGCTTCCGATTTTATTTCGTACATTCAGAATTTTAGTTCAATCCGCAACTTTCTATTAATGTAGGCCAATATTATATTATATATTATTACATTTTTTGTCATCTTTTGAATCAAGATAGGCCTATAAATATTAGACACACTCAGGACCCCGCAATTAAAGCATTACATAAATAATAACAGTACTCAAGTAGGAACAAGGTGTTATAATTGTATCAAGAATAGTCCTTCAACAAAAAGTTCCTTTTTATTCAGTTAAATTTAACTATTAGCTATAATTCTCGATACTTTTTAAATAACAGAAATCTTGGAAATTATTTGTTTTAATTAATTTAATTTACTTAATTAATCATACAATATGGAGAACAATTTTGAATGATAATCGTATGTAGATCCTATATACAGTAAATATATTCATGTTGATGAAAATGATGGTGGTGATTATGAAGATGTTGATGATGAAGATGTTAATGATGATGGTGATGATAATATTTATATATTATATTAAAGCAAAATATGTTTCAATCTGCTTACCGCTCCTGCTAGCATCATCCCAGACCCTAGCATGGCACCGCCAAGAGCAGCCGATAGGTAGCCTTTGAGCTGGAACCGCTCAATGAAGCTGTTTCGAGCCAATTGAAACCTCTGAGTTGTAAAAGGAAGGATGGACATCAACGCCATGCAGAGCAGACCCGACGATACAGCGGACAAAAACATCTTCATCATCACGAAGGAACGAAATTCGAATTGATGCCTGATAACCAGAGGCTCGAAAACTGTCAACATATAATATAGGATAGTGCTATAATAAATTCTTCGTATTATTATCTTCTTAATTGAATTATCATCGGCACCATAACTACTTTCAGGGTTATAATGCATATCATATCAGGTTGTCATACCTACAATCATTATTATTGCCCTCTTCCTACTAGTCTACTCCTAACCCTCCACCTCTCCCTTCTCAATCATTATCATCTGTATCATCATCAGCATGATCATCATCTTCATCGTCATCATCAATATCATCATTATCATTGGTACTAACCATTTACCGTCGTCATTAGTTATAGTCATATCCATAGTTACCAACCACAATCAATACTAATACTATAATCATTGTTGTCATTTATTAATACCATCATTATCATTATCATCATCTTGAATGTGTAAATGTGTTTAGACATTTCTCTTCAATATATAAATAATTTTTTAATCATATTTCCCATAACCCTACTTAATGTACACTTTATCATTTTCGCTTGTCGTTTATAATTTAAATCAACCTTTTATTGCTTGCAATTTGATCTGCTGTAGGCCTAAGTACGATCCTTTACAATCGCAATCATTCCACGTATAAGTTGATGGTCGTTAAATTAGCCCTAGGAGAGAGAAGTGCCTAGCTGAGGGTCATGGCCGACTATTACAACAAAACGTACAACGCCACTCAGCGTGCTCACTTTCTAAAAATAACTTTTAGTTCCAATTTTAGGCAAATGCGACCTTGCAAGATTTGTTCTGTCTTTTCGACTGAAAAATCGAAATAAACGTGAAGTGTTGTTCTCACATACCAGGGTAACGCTGGCTTTACATGGGCAGTCGGGCGGATGATAAGACGCCAGAGTACAGACTAAATATACACCAACTATTCATGTTTTTTTTAATCGTCATTGAAAAATGACCGATATTTATATTCTTGTAATGAATACAAAACGTTTAGAATGTAGACAGCAAACGTGATACAAATTCGAAATACACGAAAATACTAGTCGGTCAAACATGGCTAAAAATAAAGTGAATGTGACGTCACCCGAAATATCGTTAATACAGAAACCGTACATTCTAAATTAACATTCAAGATGGGGAAAATGGGAATGCTATAGATAACTATCGTTTAGCTAGATATTAGTTGAAATACAAATATGAAATATTTCCAGATGATGAAAAATTGAATCCAAACTTTTAATAGTCGATGCACATTTGGCCAAATATATTTTATTATTAGTTTCACGTCCGGGGTATTTGAAATTAATTTTGGTCAGGGTATTCACTATTTTTTATTTAAAGATAAAAACAAAGGCTGGAGAATCCATAACTTGCAGCATCATTGTGCCGAATTGAGTATGGCTGTGGTCCGTGACTACCTAGCGGCCGTAAAGAGGCGCTTAATAGCTACATGTTCACATCATTCCACAACGACAGGGACTTAAATTAACCCCCTACTCTTCCGAAAGATGCAATGGGTTCTTTAAAGTGCACACAAGCCTGATGTATACACGGGACCTCCATTTTAAGTCCTTATGCAAATAGAATTGGTTTCGATACCAGCCGAAACCTGGAGAGGAGCAGCGGAACCAGCGCCGATGTTAAGTCTGTATTTAGCGGCGCCCCTATCTTACCGCTCGACTAGGCAAATTTACTATCATATACCTATAGGCCTACAACAACAACAACAGGCCGGTAAATAACAAACAATTGTTATTTATAAAAGAAGCAAAATGAGTCTCTGTATTAATATTTTTTCTCTATTTCAATCTCATTTGCTTTGTATATTTTTTTGATATTGACATTGTCTGAAATAAAGATGAACGAAAATTGAATATGTACTTCGATTTATATTTTAATATTTTTATTTTCCATAAAAAAAAAACTATTGTTTTATAGCACTAAATGTTTTTATGAGGCCCCAACATTTGATGAGGTCTACGTCTACCTGAAATAAGTTTTCAAATAAACTCATTAATTCGTTCGCTTTTTTCATTATTGAATTTTTCCAATTCAAGTGGCGATAACCGCTTTATAGTGGGCGCTTTTGATAACTGTGTCATTATGGAACAAAACGTATCTAGATTAATTGCATTTTCTCATGACATATAATCCACCAGTCGCGATACAATTTCATAAAAATCCTTGAAGAACAAATTATTAAGGTTAGCGCGATACTCACTGACAACCTTGACTGAAGAAGAAAACCATGCGCCCTAGTACTATCACCGTAAACAAGTTAAGCTATAATAGCTTAATGTGGTTATATCCAATTAAATTGACCCCCTACTTTATTATAGTCCTAATTATATTATATTTAGAATTGTTAAACTGCTTACGTATAATTACCTGGTGGGCCCGAACCCTGAATGACTTGGAAGATAATCAGTGTACAAGAACATCAGACGCGTCAACCCACGTATAATGAAGACTTGAACAGTGATGGCAATTTTAGCTTAAAACTATCAGCATTGTACTTTTGTTAAATATAATAGATTTAATAAAATAGACCTATTAGGCTTAGATTTATAAAGTCTGTCATAAATATGAAAACCCCTTAAAAATAAATCAGAACTGAAACTTATTTAATAATATTAAATAAGTTGGCAAGATTCAATAAGCCCTGATACATAGATCGAAAGAAAAAGGTTTGCAACGATTTGCAGCCGTGTCCTACAAAGAATCCTAAAATTGATTACCAGGCAAGTTAAGAGTTGATACAAAAGCATAGGCCTATATAGGATTCATGTACCATAGGCTACTTAGTATTTTATAATGTTTTAGAAAAATAAGGGGTTAAGTTTAGTACAGTACAGTTTTATTTTGGGGTAAGGAGGGAAGAATGGATTCATTTAAGCTGTTTTGATTTGGGTTAATTTTTTAGTTGTTCTGATTTAATTTGATGTGCCTTGTAATCATTTAGTGTTTCGGACTCACCTTTGTATTACAAAGTATGCAAATCTAAATAAGTGCGGTACAAGTCCAATTAAATATGATTTATTATGCCGTTCAATAACTGGCAAAGAAATATTTTCTCATTCTATTTATAAATGAAAGCTACCTATATATAACGTTGGTATATTGAATCTATCTTTAGCTCATCGAAGAACAAGGTAATGATAATGGTGAATGGATCAAGTTTAAAGTAATGAGCATAACATAATCATGATAATCAAATTGGTATATTTTTAACTGTCACTCCGTTTTAATGTTTATCATGATGGTATAGTGAAGTTGATGATAAGGAAAACGTTGATAATAAAAATAATATTACCAACAATTATCATAATTATTATTGGTAATGACGACAATTATTAATATCTCATTATTGTTATTACTAATTATATTCTTATTGTTATTTTTATTAATATTGCTATTGCTATTATTATTATTTCTATAATTTAGGTGGTCTATTATTATTTTAGGCTTACTATGGTTGGTGGTGACAGATCTATTTTAAAGATGAAGATGGAAGTGATGATGATGATGATGATGAAGATGATGATTATGATGAGGATAATAATGACGATGGTATTGATGATGGCGGTCTTTGTTTTGTTACACTTTTTTTTTTATGAGAGTAGTGGTATTTATGTCCTTAGTATGATGCTTACGAGATGAATCTCCGACAACCGATGGCAGGTATAAAGATGCTGGTGTTGGTGATGTTAATGATACTGGTGATAGTGATAATGATAATTATCATATAGGCATCGATATTAATATAGGCCTAGTGGCTATTTCTACGATGACGAAAATCGATATCAGTACTGATTTAATTTGTGGATTCAGGAAAATCAACTTTGGACGCAGCATGCATCGATCTCGAGGTAATTTACTGCAAAACATCACTGAATATTAGCACTGCCGAAGTGAAGTTACCCCATCTACAATATTTTGTCGCATTGATCAACCTTCGGCAAGCTCTCGAGTAGTATACTATCATGTTCCAAAGTGTATTTAACCCAGAACTTATAATATAAGTCATCTATGACTCGAAAATGACGATGACCTTTTCGCACAAACTAAACTCGATGGCTTTCGCAGAGATGTAAAAGAAACGCCTTAAGGAATTCAGTAATAGCGTGTTCGCAACGCCTTCTTTGCTTTGACAGTCGTCAATCCGCACGTTCTTGTTATCACAGTTCATTCAGCACTGTTTGACTAGATTAAGTAAACCATTGTAGTAATTTGCCTTTCATACAGACTATTGTTGTTTCTCATATATATTTCAAGGTCAGAGGGGTTAGGGTAAACGGATGGGCTTTACAGGGACACGACCAGGTCCTCTTCAACATAAACCCTGGGAAAATTACTTTTCTACCGGGAAATAGAACACGCGCAAAAATTCGACTTGAATCGCCTCACCAACTGAGAAATCAATACATTGAGATTGGCCTAGAAAAAAAAATTCACATAATTATTAGCCCCTGGAAATATAGTAATTAACACCGCCTACCCTGGATCTCATAATTTATAAATACAATACTGATTCTATAAGCATACTAACAGAATGTAGGTTGGAACAGCGGAATTACGATTAAAAAAAATATGGATAAAAAATGAATTGATCATATAAAAGCAGGATTAAACGTGGTTTGTGGTTACTTGATAGTTGCTTTAAACTTTGTGACTCTTTTCTTATGTCAAAATGTACTGTCAATGAGTCCGGAGAACAAAAGTATGTGCTAAGTGTGCCAAAGCGCCCAGCTTAAAAATCCGAACAGTTCAAACTTATTGATAAGCACTTTAATCAATTCGATTGCATGAATTGTTTACATTTTATGGATAGGTATGTAGGACTGTTCAATAGCCCATCAAGATAATTAAAATTTACACACATTTAGGAGAATTATTTAGACATTTATTATTAATACGTTCGAATTGCAGGCCATCGAAACATATTATTGGATAGAGATCCACACATAATTAATACAGTAGTTCCTATACTTTTACCACCGGCCAATTTGTAAATTGAAAAAGTACCGTATACGTAAATGCTGTATTCCACCAAGAAATCCAGAAGTATAGCCTAAAGTAAATTTCATAATCGACAATTTCCTCAAACAGGTTTTTCGGAAGCGATTGTGGAAAATTTCAAATGAATTTATATACATTAACATCTCATGTTCCCATTCAAGCGATGGTATTATTATTATTTTATTTTATTTAGAATACACAAACGCTTTGGAGCTTCATGGCAGGTACAGTAATACATACTGTATTGAGTTTCTGAACTTCTTAAAGTTCAGAAACAAATAAAAAAATATGCTAAAAAACATAGCACAGTATACGCAACATGCAGATAAAATAACATTAATAATAAATATAACATTTGGTCTGAAGTAATGTACGCCTGTTTTACACATAACCTATATAAACGATTCGTATCCAGTACTCTCCAAGTATCGTTCTTTGCTCACCAACAAAGGTATGGAAGAAACATGGTGTTTTCAACTACTAAATTTGAGTTTCACGGGCTTTTTAATTTATTGCACAATACTTATATATTAAATTAAACTTTATCATGGCAAACGCATTTTTGTAAAGTAAAATTTACAAAATACATTTACAGAGAATTTTTCGAATCAGTAGAACAAAGAACAGAAAATATGGCCGCATGTTTTACATTAAGTGCCGGTAATTTGTCATTTTGAATCGTTGGAAAGTAGGAAGGAAGAGGTCTATTTAAAGAACTTGTTACAATTCTCACTAACTAGGCGTCAAATATTGAAATATAATATGCAGTGAATATACAATGAATCTATATTATAAATGTATGTATGAACTATACAAATCACTAATCAAAATTACTGTATATAAAGGCCTATTGAACAATAGGCCCCGTCAAAATCATCTGCATTCTTCTTAGATGTGAAGAGTGAATTTGGATAATATTTGGCAATGACTAAACGTGTGCTTAGATTCAAACGACCTAAAAATCCAGCATGAAATGAATTACTTCAGTGCAGCCAAAACGCAGAAGCACACATATGATTACTTAGATTACTAACGAATATAGGGATTTTAGTGATTGATCTATAAATGTCACGTGCGCTAATTATTTCAGTGCGTAATGCACGTGAAATATGATAGCTATGTAACTTGAAGTTCAATATCACAGTGTAAAACACATGTTATAAATGACTTTAATTTATTTTATTTACTTATGTAAATAAGTATAGGCCTATACTTCATTTTGCATAAACCGTATATATTTGTCGACATACTGAAATCAAAACAAAATTAAGCTATTTTAGTTAAGGGAAAATAATGTATATAAGAATACAATGATGCTATAACGCTATAAAAAATGCTAAAAAAAAATTCTTTATATTATGTAAGATGATAATTAAGAAATCAATCAGAAATATATCAACCTACCTCTTCCCTTTTCCATTGCTAGGCCATCCAAAATCCCCGCTACAGCACAAATCAATAACTTGACAAAAGCATTAAAACCAAATTGTCCATTGAGCAGATTTTTTTCTTGCACCACCCCCGCATTTTCAGGATTATTGTCTATTTTCTCGGAAAACAGCTCGTCCTCTTCGATTTCCTCAGTGAGGTTGTCATTTGCATCTTTAATCGGTCTTCTTTTGCGCGATTGGAGCTGCAGCGAGTCCGGTGCCATCTCAGCGTAACACAGAAGCGAATGATCAAACAACTCAAAAACAATAACTATAGTAGTGAGCTGAGACGGGGCATGCAGCGATGTGTGTGCTAGGTTAGGCAAAAATCAACACTGACGGATAGTCCCAGTAGAGGCATCTATTTAAAGCCTCTCTGGGTACGAGAAACTTGCAGCGTTGCTCTTTAATTAGACAGATTTTTTTTTTGTAAAATTTTACCTGCCCCAACACACACATGCGCACACGTGAATTGTCGGCACGTTCACCTCTGCAATATGTTGAAGAAGGCACCATTTATCGCTTTTGACCTTGTCCTGCATCGAACTTTTGCTATTTCTCTCCAGCACCAATGTGTATTTATAAAGTGTATTGTTAATGAAATCCGTTACGAATCTATTTTTTACATACTTTCATATTTACTGGTGGCAATCTCCTTAATTTCCTTCCCTTACCCTCCCCCCGCCAGCGAATCGGAATGCAGTTCGTGGATATGGGATTTAAGTCACGCCCTCTCGGTCGTAAACGTGCGCCACGCGTGTGTAAAGTGTGGGTGTGCGTGCGTCTGCTGCTCTCATTGTAATGCCAAGGACTCTATTCCCCAAGAGTGTGCGCGTTTAATCCGCATTTCAAATCTTTATCCTTTCAATATACAACTCCGTGACCTTCGTGTACTGTATGTATGTAGATGCGTAAATCATGTATTTATAGTAAGTCTGTCACAAATTGTTTGATTTGTGTAACGAAAGTCAGAGATTAAAAGCAGTACATTTGTAATAATTAACGTCTATTACAGAAACATCTATTAATGTTATGTCATTATTAACATTCTGTTGTTGCTAAGCGCATGAAGATTTTTATATTCAAAATTTAGAATTATCACTAATCATTATGTTGTTGATTATAATAATAATAATAATAATAAAATAATAATATTATTATTATTATTATTATTATCATCATCATCATCAACATCATCATCATCATCATCATCATTTAATTTTGGCTATAACATGGTACTGGTACTCGCAGCCCCTGAACACAAAATTAGATTGTACAGCACTTCATAATAAAATAAGGTCTATAAAAATACACAAACGTGCAAATAACAATACAAGAATACTAAAATTATACCGGTAATAATACGATAATGAATAAAATATATGTATGAACTATACAAATCACTAATCAAAATTACTGTATATAAAGGCCTATTGAACAATAGGCCCCGTCAAAATCATCTGCATTCTTCTTCTTTTGCCATATTTGGATTAGTCAAACCATTAGCCTTGTCACCACTATCTTCCAGTTCAGCCTTTCGCAATTTTTTTTTGCTCAAAGTATTGATCGTTTTGTTAATTGGTTTGATATCTGCGTTTATTTCATTGATCCATGTGTATTTAGGTCGTCCTCTGTTTTCTTTTGCATTCTGCATGTGTTCTTTTAATGTTATCTTTCCCGGTGTCTGTTCTGGTAGTCATAGCTTCGTAGTCGGCATTACAAACGTTAAAAAAAGTCAGCACTTATATATAGGCCTAAATAGTACAAAATCGGTAAAATGTTGGTAAGCAACAGGCCTAAAATAAAATGACTTAACGTTTAAATTCCCATATAGTATTTGAATGATATTATATATGTTGCTCTAATACGGTATGTAATATCAGTCGATAGGAATGAACGTTGGATTAGGAAGTTGCTGAATTCCAACATAATGAGTGAACAATATACCGTACGAAATGACAAATCCCAGCACTTAAATACTAACTATAATATTTATTAGCTCTAGCTTTCGTCCACAGGATGGGCTTTATCGGGAGATTGTAATTTCTTATACTTCTATCGCAGACAAACGCAGCTACACCTTTAATGGCGTGAATTAACCAGCTTATTGATTAAAAAATTGCATACTGTAGGCTATCAAGCAAGGAGGGTGGGGGGGAGGTAAAAAAAAATCTTGTAACTTATTTTCAATATCTTCCTTTCAGCACTAAATTTACAATTACGTTTCCGTTTAGTTTTTATTGATTTATAATTTAACGTAGACTACAAAAAGTATCCATCAATAAAGATGTAAGCGGCGAAGAATCAAGATTAAATTAGGCCGTCTAAATTATTCAGGATTATTCACTTATACATACAGGAGCTGTTTTCAATAAATGTAAAGATGTACTTGAATGTTGACATCGATGTAGTGTAGAAATTTACGCCTTAATATTCTCGTTGAAATAAGTTAAAAGACGATACCTGAAATATTCGAGTACAAATAGGCCTACTAATGTTTCTAAAACATTCTTATTTATAGGGCCTATTATATATCCATATATATATATATATATATATATAATATATATATATATATATCCATATATATACATATACTACACCTACTATATAAATAAGCATATACTGAATGCTAAAATATGGAATAGATGTTCTTATCAAGCATAGCTTTTTACCAAAAATGTGTTTTTTTATATATATGAACTATTATATCATTTATATCATCATTTTATAATTATGAATATGTGTTCTTCCGTTTGAAACTGAAAACTCACGCTATGGAGGTGATCGCCATAACTCTAAACCACGAAAAACATATGAGAATTGCAAAATCGAAATACAGCCAAGAGCATACTACTTCATACAACTCCCTCACATAGTGGAGCTTAGGTATCTATAGGCAAGTAGGAACTAATATAGTAGTAGACATTTTTTACTCTGGAGACAGTAGACACTGACTGTTCCCAACAATGACATAAAATAATGATGATTACGATAACATGGTAGACAAATTTGTCTGACACGGCAGTAACAAAGACGTGCTGATTATTATAGACAGTGGGAGAAGTATGATTGTGTACAGTATATAGCAAAGAAATTACAGTGTCGTAACACCAACGTTATGAGCCCTCAAAGACTAAAGCCAGGGCCCAGTAAAATCGGCATTTTTTTACCAGGACATGAGCCCCTAATTAGCCGAGTAAGTGGGCTTATTATTAATGGTCAGAAAGTGTAAAAAATACAACATTTTAACACGTCAAAAACGCACAGACGGAGGCTTGAAACATCTGCCCAAATGCCTCCTTGGGCCCTCCGCCCCATGCCTCCCTGGGCCCTAATTCCCCCAGGATAGTAGGGCCAAAAAAAGCTTAGAGCCAGTGGCGTAACGCCTATGCATTCTCGTGCGGCGGTCCGCAGGGCTCTCGACACCCCTTAGGGGCCCCACCCATGGTCTTCGATCTATCACCCTGACCAAAAAGGGTTTTGTTGATACATCATAATGTGTCTCTGACATCGACTGTAGGATATACCCGTACCGGTATATCATATTATATCCATGAAGAGGATTTTAATTCCCAAAAAGGGCCCAACAGTGCTTCAGAAATTTTCCGACAAGGAGTCCGACCCAAGGGGCGGACTAGAGCTTTGGTCCTGATCCCGGTTTTAAAAAATCCATGGTAGTGTTCATGTGAGAGTTTTTAGAGCTTAGTTGGTCCAAATTGTGGTTTTAGACCACAAAATTTGAATTGGCAATCAAAATAACGTTATTTGGATAGGCAAATCATTTCTTTATGTTTGATCCGACGACATCGTCGTGGCGTCGGACGACAGGGGGTACAGGCCTGTCCGACGGCGGAAAATTCCCCTCCCCAGGTGCCACTACCACTGACAGGGCCCCAGTCTCAGAAAGCCACAAGGCCCCCCCGAGTCCTTCGTTACGCCAATGCTTATAGCCATTTACGCCCAGGCCTCTTCGCTACGCCACTGGGAAATTTACTCTCCCTTATAATATTAGATAAAGAGGAAACTGTAATGAATTAATATTATGTCGAACTTTTCGACAGATAAACGGAACCCACTTTTATGCTTTGGACAGATGTTTCAAGCTTCCAAATGGAAGGAAACACGTTAGAGAAAAATGAACGTTTAATATTAAGAGTTAATGGAGTACAAATGAGTTTTGTTTAGCTCTTTTAGAAGCTTATTACTTAACCCGTTTCATCAGGAAGCGCTATAGGGTTGAATGTCCAGGAAAAGTCCTTATTAGGAGTCACCAGTGGATCAAATGGAAGGTTCAGAAGTCATATCAGTTTTATCAGCATAATCTGATTAGTGTTCGCACTATCAGTTGTGCTCTTGTTAATGATGATGTTGTTGTTTTGTTATTGTTACTTTAACGGTTATCGTTGTTGTTATCGTTATTGGCTATTTTTATTCTTATTATTGTTACTGCTTTTATCATTACTTCTATAATTAATGCTACATTATTATTATAATCATTAATATTACTTTTATTATTATTATTATTATTATTATTATTATCACAATCATCATCGTCATTATTATTATTTTTATTATTATATTATTATTATTATTATAATTATTATTATTATTATTATTATTTTTATTGTTGTTGTTGTTGTTGTTAGGGTTAGTAATGATGATTGGGTTTCAGTTGACTAGTATAAGATTTCTATTTTTTTTTTTTTTTTTGTTATAATTATCAATAATTAATTATTATGCAGTATTGTTTTTATTTTGCTTTCTTGTATGGTAGTTCTACTTGCAAAATAAATGATATGATGATATGATTATTAATACAAATATAATGCAGTTAAATTTATATAGCGACATAGCGCTTTATACCGAAATGGTCTCAAAGCGCTGCTCGAGGTGTAGACTAGGTTTTACCGTACAGTAACGTGCTTCTCCCTTAAGGGTCTCTTTATGTATGAGCTACCCGGTAAAACGGTACGGTACCATCTTTCTCGTCTGGGGGCTGTATGAACCAGTATACTGGGGTAACCCCTACTCGTCTCCAAAGATATACTGGTCATGGTCATGGTCTTCCATTCATATAGCTCATACTACAACGCAATGTCTCTATGGGCTTTCAAACCTAGTGTGAAAAAAAGAGAAATCAACAAGAAAAAAACAAAACAGATTAGAATTGTGAGAAAAGATGCAGCTTATAAGCCGGGATTTAAAAGGCTAAAGATGGAGAAGACCTTACAAAATTGGGTAATATGTTCCACAACTTTGGTGCAGCAACAGAGAAGGATCTATCACCATAGGTTTTCAACCGACCAGGACGATAAAGAGATGTACTGGGTTCTTTTAAGTGCCAAATTGTGTACACTGGGACTACGGCGGTTTATAACACTTATCCGAGAAGACATGTTCAACCACCAGAAACCTAGGCGAGTCTGCCGTTCGAACCAGTGTCGATATGTGTAGGTTGCGAAGCCTCTGCTTTAACCGCTCGGACATCCAACTCGCTCGGAACATCCAACAAGTACACTAGTACTG